CTACGACGACCACGACTACGACTACGACTACGACTACGACGACGACGACGACTACAACTACGACGACGACGACGACGACGACGACTACTACTACTACTACTAGTACTACTACTAACTATTAACTCTTAACTAATCACTACTGGCTATTAACTACTAACTACGAATTACTGACGACTACTACTACTCCTCCTCCTGCTCCTACTCATGCTGCTGCTGCTCCTGCCTCTGCTATATCTGTAGCACCTGCTGCAATTAACTTACTTGTTCTTTGCCTTGACTGGTCACTCTTACAGCCCATCTTCCGCATCACAAGGAGGTGCCTGAAGCTCCTCCCTGCTCACCCAGTAGATGCAATCCACTGGGCAAGAGGTCACTGCATAGTCCAGGTACTCCTCGCTGGGGTTCACGGCATGTTGCAGTCAAGCAAGAATTCAGATGACGGTGAGATCTAGCCGAGGAGTCACCGCGTAAACAATCATCGCCACAAGCACATCGGCAACCACCATGACCAAATAGCATTCTCTGAGAGGTGCATCATCACTAGCTGCTTCAACACCATCATGAACATCCTGGTTCATGTCCAGCATCGTTGGCAGCAGCATTGCAGGCACAGATTAAGAGTGATGACCACGTAGACTGGACCCCCCTCCCTTGTGTCCTCCGAGTTGCCCCACTGCATGTAAACGTTGGCTCGGCCTTCCATGACCCTACTGCTTCTTGACACTGCGAGCCACACTCAGACAACCGATCTGAAGACCCGAATGTCGGCTTTCTTCTTGTCAGTTCCAAAACGGGAGTGTCCGAAAATAAGAGGTACCGTTTTTTGTGGTCCTTATAATAAGGCTCCTACTATTTAGGGTACTATATTAGGGTCCCCTATTTTCGCAAACCACCACACTGCTTGTTCACCTTACTAGGCTCTCCCTTAATCCTTGGCGATTCTGCGCGGATGCTAGGTGTGATGTACAGTGTCCTGTGAAATTCTCTGATCAGGCTGCCAGCCCAGAGGAACGACAGAATTGCTGAACGTATCAGCAGATGTGCAGGTGTCATGTCAAGAGGCCTCATCTGCATCAGGTTCTCAAATCATGCACTTGCGGCTTCCCCTTCTGAAACAAGCATGCTTCGCCACAGCTCCTCTGTGCACACGCCATCAACATCACTATGAGGTTGATAGTGTTATCACCAGCATCATCACGGTAGTGCCTCTAGTGTTAGCTCCTTCACATGAGCACCCCGCCGTCCAAAAGAAACATGAATATAATCTCGGTATGAAGAAGCCAGATGGTCTCGAAGAAATGAGCGAACCGCTTTCAAAGAGTGGATGCGGGGGCCAAGAATTATGCAGAAGAAGCAAAGACTGGCGACACAGAAACGATTGCCAAGGCGCCGTTGTCATTCTGAATGCAGAATGACTGTGGGGCGATGTCACAGCCTGGTGGCCAGCACTGTGAAAATGCGGCCAGTATGATAGGTGAGGGTGGCAGCAACAGCCGCGAACTCAGCTCAAACGCATACAGTTAAGTTTAACAACTTCACAATCCTGAGCCTGAGAAAAGAATTTATAAAGGACAGGGCAGCTGCGGTAGTGTATGGGCTTTGTTCCACTCCACGCCCAACAACCCTGCCCGTCCGAAGTCGCGAGAATTGATCGAGCAACATGATTGTTGGTGCTCAGCTTGTGGTAAAGCAACACTGCTTCTGCTCAAACTTGACTGTCTGCCCGGTTGGGATGTGACCCGCGGTCTGATCATGGTGCGAAGGGTTCAGCTTCGACACGGCTGGAGCTCCAAGGGTTCTTCGAAACCCAAAGCACGCAAAGACCCGAGTCTATCACGAATTTTGAAACCGTGCTTGAAAAAACTGCCTCAGGGGGTGATCTAGAGTTGATCATGCTCGCGAGTTTTATTGCTAGTGTCGTAAATCCTCCTCGAAATTATTATGATCTGTCATTGTCAGTCTTGGGCATGCGGTCAAAGTTACAGTTCCGGCAGCAGATGCAAGACCACTCGTCGACGAAGAGCATCCTGGGCTGCGATCTTCTCAGGATGAGCATGATCAGCATCGTTAGTGCTGCTATTGATGTTCGTAGGGCCAGAATCATTAATATGCACTGTAGCATACTGTCGCTTGCGGGCCTTCCTCTCTTGCTCCCAGCAACAAGAACTGTCGCTAATACTACTGGTTCGGCTTACGGTGACCGTTTTGTAGAACTAGTCTGCAATTTGCCGGGTCTCTTCTCCTCCAGATGCTTCTCTCCGCGATCTTCGGGTGCCACCTGGCAACACATGGCCATGGCCAAGGTCCACTACATGCTCTCCTGCTCTTCTCCAAAATAAAGTGGTCCCCACATGTCCCCGCCTTCTCCCACTTCGAGTGGGACAGCGGTACCCTGGGCAGCGGGGAGGTATGCCGACTCGGGATGGGAGAAGACAAGTCATGCTGTCCAAGTCTCCCGGTGTAATCCGTGTGGTGCTTCCTGAGCATGAGCAGCAGCTCACAACCCCCTCTCCAATAAACCCCAGATCCGCGAGAAGGTCAAAACCGAGTGCCGACCGAGGATCAGTGTCTTTCGCTTTCCTTTCCACGATGGCGCCAAATCTTTGGAGACCTCCTGCATCTTGGCCAGGTACGCCGGCTTGGCCAGCCTCGGCTTTGATGCAGGCGCTCTATGAACAAGGTCACATGCTGATAAAAACCCTGGTGTTTTGAGG